TTAATTTGGGAGAGTGTATCCTCACTCCTGATGACCTCCCAGCGGCCTGTGTCGGGCGGTGCGTAGTCTCCATGAATCTAGCTGCGCCTATTGGGTCCTCCTCGACAACCTGACATTGCGGGGTTCTTAAACGCAAGGGTTACAGCATGTAGGGATCTGGGGCTTTCCAAGAACCAGGGATGCCTGCTTCTGGTCCTTGAAGAAATGCAAAAAAATGTGGATATGGGGCATATAGGTACAGTGGTACAAGGATGGTGGATTGAAATTCATGCCCTAACCCTGGCTTCCGCAGCCATACAGACTGCGTGTGACACGTTGCATGTTGGCAGCTGCTCAATTAGGGCCTGGAAAAATGAACCACATTTGGGAGTGGAGTCGGGGGTCCAACAACAGAGGTTGAAGAATTGAGGAGGGTTTAGGGCTGTTGGTCTGTGGAATCTGCGTTTGTGAGCCAAGGCCGGTTGAGGTTGAACAACTGCAGTCTGCGTTTTCAGTACCCTTGAAGATCCTGCGGAATCATGGGGATTATAAAGAGCTTACGGGATTATACTGTGCCTGCACCCCTGCTTGATAGGCATGAAAGCCTTTCCTCACCTAGAACCCCTACAAACCCCTATTCAATCCCGTTTGCAATTCAATCTCGGTTTTCCCTTATTAACATTAGCCCCTGAAACCATACAACCCCAAAGGTTCCCTAAACCCGAGAACAACACCGCTAGAATCCCTGAAAACCGTCTGTATGAGGTTTTTGGGTGGGACCGGTGCTAGCGGCTCAGGACTTCAGCATGTGCCAAAACACGTCATGCCTCGGCCACGGCTTGTTGGATCTGAGGGCCACCCCAGCCTCTCAAGCAGCAAGTAAAAAGGATGTTTTGTTTTGGGTCTGGGTGAAGGTTTTGCACTTGGGGCCTAGGTTGAGAGATTAGGGATGCTAACCAGGGTCTAAGATGACACGCTCCAAGAACCGAGGCATAATTCAAGTTGACAGAGAATTCCCCACCAAGCAGCCAAGTCATGAGAGTAATACAGACTCAGCTGATTACAATGGAATTGCATCGACGTTGCCATGCAGGCACAGTGTACTGAATCTTGAAGTGCTCACTTGCATTATAAGGACTCCTTCAGAATTAACATTGGCAGGTAAAGAAAAACATGGGCCGAAAGCAGTCCTCACAACAAAGAGAGGCCTAAGATGCAAGTCTACACCGGAAAAATCGTTGCTGCAGGAAAGAGGCTCGAGATACTCTCCCCCGGAGCTCATCATGCACGGTTGCACACAGAAAAAAGTAGCTCATAGCTCGCCATAGGCGCGCCGAGCACTTAATGCTATCGCATCCATACCACATCCAAAAAAGGTCCACGTTAGGTAGGGTTAGGTACGCACCAGGCTTCAGGGGATGGGCTCAAGGAAATACAAGACTATAGGCCAGAGAGTGTTAATTAGAGTTGAACGGTTTGGGCTTTTTGTACGGAGGGATTATAGCAGAACATGGCAACAGCAACAAGCGGAAATTCACAACATCATCACTGCACACATCGTATATAGTAGGGCTAGTAGCTGTTTCGACCGAAACTTGCCTGGTAATGAGCATCCAAAATTAAATGAACGTGAGTTGTCGAGCAGTACAGAAAATTGAATGATTTGTGGCAAGTAAAACCCAACAAGATGAACATGCTGTGGCTATACTGCGACACTCTAATAATAATGCTGCTGATCGCCCAACAACTCTGCATATCTCTGCGCCTGCTATAATTCCTCGGGCTCGGGTATGCGGATCACTCAGGATTTCTGGGATAGATTTAGGAGCCTTTTTAAAAAAAAATATATGAGTTATATAATATATGGCTATATGGGTATGGTCCATAAGAATTAAAGATCATCCCCAAAACTTCGCCTTCTCGTGTTGCTTTGGCGACAGCATCCAGCCACCTCTCCTGCTCCTGCGGAATGCAGGCTTTCAGTCAGGAGGTCTCCACCCAAAACCTAATTTAAACCTAATTCCTAAACCCTACTCTCACCAAACTGGCTACTCTTCTTCAACGTGCTTGAAACCTGACAATAACCCATCGTGCCTACATCCTGGACCCTAACCCTCGACACTATGCATCCGGGCCTCTACCCCCTTTTGCAACAGGCTTCAGATCTGCCTGATATGGCCACCCCTTCACGTCTCATACCGCCATACCCTAAACCCTACACCTTGGTTCAAAACCCAGGGCAACAAGCCCCCTACAACAGAAGCCCCCCACACCTGAACTCGACCGCAAGGCTAAATCGGCATTATCCAGATTAAGGGGCCCCTGTCCGAGGCAAGGATCACATCACATCTGTAGTACTTGTAAACCCCCCAAGGTCCTTGGAAGTCAGCGCCGACCTTGAAGACTTCGCAGGGACTGTTTGAAGGTATTTTAAGCTTCAGGTCTCAGAACTGAACGATTGTTTGGACCCTGCCAGGGCTAAGGAAGTTGCTATACTTGGGCTCCTAACCTGCTGATGATCATGGTTACCCAGCATAAGCGCCCAAGGGTCGCCAATGGCACTCTCAATGTCAAGCCTCAGGGTAGACTTGAGAGGCGTTACCCCTGCTTGAAGTTGAGCACGTCGAAGTGGGGAAGACTTTCCAGGCTTGTACAGGGGCTTAAACTATTACCAAGAGGAACCCTATACCAAGATTATAAACAGACTGTAGAACCATAGTAGTCGTGATTAGAACATCTATCTTGGGGTTTTGGGCTCGGGGTGGCCTTTAAGCAGATAGAATATAGGGTATATGAGGATCTTTCTATGATTTGGGATTTACGTATATTATCTACTTAAGGGTAACTATGGGATGGTAGCCTCTGGGCGCGGGGCTTCAGCTCCTTCTCCACAGTGGAGGGTGCCATCTCGTCCGCTCTCAAGGCCCAGGAGTCCTGCTACTCAGAACTGGTTTTATTTTTTTGTTCAGGGCCATGACTTTCTACTAGTAAATGTTTTGCAAAGAAGTAGTAGCTTGCATTTGCTGGTGGCCATGCTTAAGCTTCATGAGTGGGGGCTGAATATTGCAGGTATGAAACAACAAATGGTGAAAACACGCCCAAGTACTCCAGATAGTGTGCTAACCTCGACAGTTCTCGGTGATTGCTTGGAACTCTTTCAGAATCACTGAATAATTTAGGTGCTCATGTTCAGGGTGCGGCTGCGGCTGCCTCACCACGCTCTCTTGTATGTAGCCCCCCCGCTTTCCCACACAACCGCAGAAATTGTCCTGAATGGACTGGCCTAGCACCGCTTTTTGTTTTGTACCTCTTTCAGCATTTCCAGCGCCCCACCAGATGACTACTGATGAATGAGGCTCACCTGAAAAAAGAACAAAACCTGAGCCAGGAGGCCCTTCACAGATCTTATGTTGCAGTCAGTAATCACTCCCGCTGTCCCTTCAAAGGCACCCTCAACCCAAAGACTGAACTACGGTGGATGCGAAAAATCCTGCATGACCCTAAGAGCACTCTTGCCTGGGAATTTTGTTGCTACAGGATATAATGCGGTCACACAGGATTCTTGAGATCAACAGTAGCATGAAGCGCAGAAGCCTTGTAACCAAGAAGGACTAGGCTTCCCCCCAACTTTGAGCACTCGCGGCGGAGAGTCCCAACACAGGTCAGATTGGAAAAAATCGTCTATGTCGAATTGTTCTTGTGAGCTTGAAGATTTCAGAACGATGATACTTGAGGGTCTTAGGCTTTGATTCTTGTAGCTCTTGTGGCTGGTGCAATCGAATCACTTGGTATCATTCTTGAAGGCAAAATGATTCTCCATCATCCTTGCTAATATATACCAGGAGAGTTTGTTGACAATGCCGCGCGCTTGCAACAGGAACCATTGAAAGGTTAAGGTGAGAGTATCTCGGCTCAAAAAGGGAGTACCGGCAAGCTTCGCAGGATTAGCTTTGCAAGTTCTGAGTTTGGGGGTTGGCTTTAGATCATTTCGCCCCGTCTGCCTCCAGATCACAGGAGTCTTCTTTGTAAAGGGCGTATGGTCAGAATGGTTCCGCTCCAGAGAAGGTTTGGGCTAGTCAAATGGTGTAAGGCTTGAGCCAGTTTGTGCGTTCTCGAAGCTCTGGAGTCGAAGGCATCTAAAGCGTGCCACTCTCACTAGATAAAGTGAAACACCACAAGGATGGGTACGGTCGCCCAGGACCCTGCCAAAGATCATAACTTAGCAAATGCCCGCAAGTATCTCCGCTCACGGTTTTAACGCCCAGCTCGACACACATTCGTCTCAGGCTCCGAAGATGCAGCTGGACGTGCGAATCTCATACCGCCTGGGCTCGGAGCTCTGTGACCATCCTTCCCAAACCTCTAGACCGACTCTTAGCATGAAGCTGTTTGACGAACACCGTAACACTCGACAAGATCCCACCTCCCGCGCCCGCGCTCACACAGCTGCAGCGCTTCTCCAGAGATGCTGAGGGATTCCACGCCCTCGAAGTCCTGCTGACTCGCTGCAGCTCATGTCAATATAATATACTGTATCATACTGTATTATACTATATTGTACTAAAATATCATATAATATACTATATTATACTATATTATACTATTTCATATTATACTACATTATACTATACTATACTATACTTTACTATATTATACTATAATATACTATAATATACCAAGGGTTGAGTGGCTGGCTCGGCTTGGGGCTTGACAGCTCACAGTGTTGTCGCAGGGAGATGCTAGGCTTGATGCCTGGCGACAAGTTGCAAGACCTGTATGAACGGCTGAGGATGTAAGGTGAACAATCTTCATGACACCTGTAAGTAGGTGGCAGCAAAATCTATTGTGCTTATCATAAGAAACTGGACAGAAATTTGAGTTTCTCATTCCTAGCTTCAGCTTTCGTTGTTCAGAGGCTCTCATTACTACCACAACCATCTTCCTCATCACTGAGATAACAGGATGCTGTGGACCACTAACACACATGTTTGCAAAATCATTATGCAAGCTCCCTTGCCTAATTAGGGCTCAATTGTGTAGCCTTCCGGCTCATCATCATGTTGGGCTGCATGATGCATAGCACATGCCAACCGAAACCCAGTCCCGTCCTGCGATATTTGCAACAGGAAGCAAGCAAATGACCGCTTCTGGCACTCTCCGGCATCCAGGTATGCGAAGGTTGGAAGGTCGAAAATTCGTGGATGTTGAGAGAGCACCTTCCAAGCTCCAAGCTTCAAGTGAAAATAAAACTATGTTCAGGGATTAAAAGAGGGCTACATAGGAGTCACAAAAGGATTTTCGCGAATATGTCCGGTGTATGTGCAAATTCGAGGGCTTGCATGGAGGTATAGCGGAAAAGAAACTGGAAGCCTCAATTGCTTCTTCTTGGGGGTTGAGGGTCCCAGTGCTTTGGGGCTAGCAGATTCGAGCTCAGAGTGCAAGGATTGCCGCACAGGGCCTTGGCTTTAGGAGCTAGGCATTTGGGTTTAAACTTGTACATGTGGAAATTTCGGGATCGCCGTCCTTCTAGAAGAACACTGGTCACTGGCCTTTGCAAAGCCCTTTCCGGAGTTCTGTGCTCATTTTCCGAGGTACACGCGCTGAAGCGCCAAGCCCCAACTTTGGCCGCCTTTTTCTGGAATCTTTAATAGTCGGTAATAGTGGCAAGGTTTATAGTAATATTACACAATAAGGTACTCTGCCTTTTTAGTAAGCGAGCTCGATACCAAAGCACTACAGTAGATAGTACTATAGTAATATAGTAATAGAGCGGCAGCGCCACTCCTACCAGAATATGGTAGCACGGCAACTTCACCTCGAGACCCCTAGCAACTCCGTGCTAAACCTCCCCAAGCAATCAGATCAACACCCACAACTTCATCGCCCAGCCTATACCCAGCCCCAGCTTTAACTTGATGGACTCTCCATCAACTTGATTTGCTGAGACTGAACTCCATGCCCTCCTAAACACCGTAGAGCTGCCTTGAGCAAAGCCTTTGCCAGGTCAAAAAGTATGCGGCTGCTATGGTTTATCACTCCATTGCAATTTGAACCTCAATTACATGCAGAATGCCTGAGAACAGATTCTATGTGGACCACAAAAAAATTGCTGCTGCCCATCTGAATCACCCTAGGACTCCCTGTCTTTATTAACATATTCACTATCTTGCAGCTTCAAGGTTAAACATCCGACGCCTTCCTTGAATCATCACAAACAAGAGCACCGGAATGATCCCCTGAAGGGTGCCCTAACAAGAGGCAATTACTGAGTTGCTGTTGAGGAACTCAAACTAAGTTGCTATAACCAGGAAACATCATCCCCATATTACCCCTATGTTATGGCAACTTACTTTAAATTCCTTAACAGCAACCCTCAAGCCTAAACAGCAGTTTCCATTGTATTTTCCATCATCCCTATATAACCCCTCTAATTAGCCCCTATATTATGGTAACTTAATTTTAAGTCCTACCCTAAACCCTAGCCCCCATATTATGGTAACTTAGCTTAAACTTCCTTAGCAGCAACCCAAACTAACTGCAAGCGCAGCAGCCGGAAAAGGCTGATGGAGGCCGGTGGTCCCAAATTCCAAACCTCGCGCTCGGGGCTCCTGCCATGAGCTTGCGGTTCCAGGTGTGGGGTTTCAGGATGGCTTAGGATTTGGCCTTGATTGTTGGGTATATTATAGTATAGCATAATATATTATAGTACATCATCGTATATTCTGGTATATCATAATATAATATAATATATTATGGTATGTTATGGATTTCGATTTGGGGTCTGAAGTTGTCCAGTTTGAGGTTTGTAGGTTTCAAGCCTGCGGCTTGCATTTTGGGTTTGGCGACTTATGCTTTGAGGGTCCCGGAGAAAGGGGGGGGAGGGCTGAGCTTGCACGAGTTCGCAGTGGCCTGGCCTCAAGTAACGAAACATCAGAAATTTCCGGTCTCCTCGCCAGAAGAGCTGCACCTTACTTGGGCATGCACGGTGGTCTGGAAACAGAAACCCTGACACCCTGTACCAATCACATCGGGGACGCCCGAAGCCCCAAATGCCACGCTTACAGCTTACACTTCCATGTGCAGTTTTTGGAAACCATAACCTTGCCAAACCCAAGAGCCCAAAAGCTGTCAAGCGCAAGCCAGGCGCCAGAGCGACACCCAAGGGTAGTCGGCCCGAGGCCACACATACCCAAGAAGCAGATTCAAGCCCGGAGTGCAGGCCGTCACCCAGCCGTAAGCATGCGAAGGATCCACTTCATAGCTGAACCTCCAAAGGCAAAGCAACTTTTGTGGGGAGTGAGATTTACGCCTTGGGTCTTTGGTTTGGGCTTGTCTTGCTGGTGAACCTCGGTGATCAGGTAAAGATTCTATTGGTGCTGTTCAAGATGGCCACAAAAAAACCCAAGCCCACTTGAAAACGAGGAGCTTCCAGTTGCTACAGGGAACGCAAGGAAAGCCAAGAGCAAGGTCCTTCACTCCGAAAGACATGACGACTTTCTTAACTCGCTAGCTCAAAACGAATCTCTGCATAAGATGCGGCGAAGGAACACATCATCAGAGCCCCCAGTCATCTCTCGCACATCTCGAAGGCCACCCTCAGTCCTGCACGGAGCCTACTTAGGGGACTTCAGGCCAAAGTACTGGCCCCATCAGGATTCCATCAAACCAATGGCGTAAAAAGGCACACAAGACACAGATGCGGATTGTCCCTGTAGTGCTACTACAATGCCTTCTAGTCTCCTGGATATTTTCCCCACTTTTGCAAACAGCAAGTCAGGCAAACTCCTATACGCCCCTTTTGGGAACTCGTCCTGGCTACTGGGAACACGCTTGCTGCAAGCCACGGCAGCGTTGGCACTGCTTCGCGAGAACACTGCGTAAAGCCACGTATCCCTCAGGGAGATCTCAGGGGTCCCAAAAATGTAAAAGTCTGTTTGAGAACCAATACTATATTAAAGTAGTAGTTTCCATTTTCTTT